CCATGTATGTGCACCATGTGTATACAGTGCCCAAGGAAGCCAGAAGAGGGGATCAGATCCTCCTGTAACTGGAGTCACCGGAGGTTCTGAGCTGCCCGATGTGGGTGCTGGGAACTAAACCCAGGTAGTCTGCCAGAGCAGAAGTGCCTTTAACATACCTCTCCAGCCCACGCAATAATAATTTTAAACAATACAGACATGTGCATAATTAAAAGGAATGCTCTTGTCATGGTAGTTCAGCAACTTTATGAACATACAACAAGCCACTCTACTGGACACTCTCCACCTCAAAATTACCTGAAGCACAAAAGACACAAGAAAATGGTGTCCTTTTCCAGAGAAGCCTTAGGAACCTCTTCACCTGCTGGCCTTCAGCAAAAGAGCAGATACTGAAGGGACCAGCTTCCCTTTTGGCAGCCATAACAGCCGAACACGTGCTTGCCATAAACCTGCCTTAGGCACTAGAAAGTCAGATTCCTATCTCGTGACAAGGAGCCAATCAGAAGTTAGCTGGTGGCGCTATGCTTTACGACCCTGGGTGTGCTTTATGGATAAGCGCACAGCAATGACGTAGAAAGCATAGCAACCGCCCTGGGAGGGCCTATGGGCCATAACAACCAGTTGACCAATCAACACAGGGCAAGCCCTCCAAGCCTGGAGGCACACCAATCGTGAGCCTGTGCGTACCCCTAGACACTCCCCTTACGCTGTCCTATAAGATCTCTTGGGAGGCCCTAGGAGCCGTCTTTGCTAGCCATCCGCCATGGCGGGGTGTGTGAAAGACCCGAGCTAACATGGGGTTAGCTCGTTAAATTACAATAAAGCCTCATGCAATTTGCATCAAGCTTTCGCCTCCATTCTGTGACTGGGGTGGCCGAGGTCCTGGGCTAAGATTCTGGAAGCCTGGGCTTTCCAAGGGTCTTACAATACCTGCTTTCCAGGAATGTGCTTTTCCAGTGAGAACGTAGAAGAGTGTCACAAGCATTGGTATTAAAGATCAAAAGCAATGGCAGTAATCTCCTGAATGCTTTGAACCTGACAGATCACTTGGCACCTGAGGTGCAGCAGGACTATCCTGGGGCATGTGGAAGCTTTGAACCAACCATTGAGCAAGAAGGAACTCAGGGAAACCAAAGGGGTTTTCTTTCCACATAGATACTGTCAAGAGCCAAGATGGGAGACAGAAAAGTGAAGGACATGTTCGGGTTGGTGAGGAGGCAGCCTGTCCACACAAGGAGCAGCCCAGTGAGCTGCTGGGGCACCAGCAGACTATGGCAGGTGAGGAAGCGTGCCCCAACCTGAGGCGTGGGGTTCTGTTGTTTAGGTAGGTAGTGGGGAACCATGGCAGGGCCTTGGGTCTGGGTAGCTTCTCAGTTTGGGTATGTTTGGGGGGGCAGATGACAAGGTGATAGAGACGTAAGAGCAGGGTGAGGTAGCTGTCATGAGGACCCAGCCTCCTGGGCAGCCACGGGCACAAACAGACACCATCTAACCGGAAGTGACCTGCATGCTCGCTCCGAAAAGGAATGCTCATCCCCCCACATTGTTTCCTTTTATTGACTTCCCACTTTATTCTTGGAGGCAGGGCAGACAGAAACCTGGTTAAAGACAGGAGAAGTTGGGATATTCAAAAAGAGGTGCATTGCCACCTTGTCGGAAGCGCTCTGTCTGTTCTTCAGTGAATGGCATGTGTAGCAGCTTGCCTCACCGTTTCTCCACTCTGGGCCTTGTAGGAAACCCTCCAGGGAAGCCCTCATACTCGGTGCAGGCCGGTACCTTTCTGCTGACCTGACTAAATCCAGATAATGATCCGCCTCGGTCTTTTTAGCAGCTGTGGTGTCCCATCCCACTGTATGAACCCATCATAATTTAACCCCTCCTTTTTTGATGGACAGGGAGGCTTTTATAGCAATTTACAAATAATTTCAGGGTGCAGATTTTGACCACACACTCAGACTCACACAGTTCTTTCTTCACTGGCCACATCAAGCACATGACTGCTGAGTGGTGGGTTTTGCGTTTTTAAGGAACTTTGCATCACGCCACCATCATGTCACACTGTTGGGTTCCTATGACCACTGTGCAGAAGGTGAGAGAGCCAGAGGCTGCAGCATCTGGACTGACTTTTTCGTCACTGTCTTCTGCTCTGCAGGTGTAATCCCATGTTAACCCTGGCAGCTTGGTATGTCCTGCAAATCAAAACACAAAACTCCACGTGTCTCGGAAAGCTCCACGGGCCTCTTAATTCATCTTGGTCCCCTGAGGTCCGGTTCTCCTCTCCTAGTCAATTCTGCATCAGCCTGAGTTCCACCATAGCAGTCCACACAAAGTTAGTCACTGGCGGTGGCCCTGGGCTTTTGTTTCGTTTTGCGAGACAAGGTCTCACCACATAGCCCAGGCTGATCTGGAACTTGGGGTCTCCTGCCTCAGTTTCCAAAGCACTAGAACTTGGTGCCTGGACACTAAACTCAGTGCTTCACAAAATGTTGTGACGAAAAGAAGGAAAGAAAAATTGAAATTTCTGATTTTCTTTCTTCTTTACTGTTGCCTAAGGGCTGCCTGTGAGTCAGGCTAGAAGAGCCTTCCCTCACCATCCTCCCACCTCAGTCCTCCCAAGAAGCCTTCCAGAGAAGGCTCACACTTGGCACAGGCCACTGTCTTTCTGCTGACCTGACTAGATGCAATATCATGACCTCTGTCTTTCTAATGGCTGCGGTGTCACAGACCACTGTATGAACCTGTCATAACTTAGCCCCTCCTTTTTTGATGGGGTGGGGAGGGCTTTTGTAATCTTCCAACTTCTATCCCCGAAGAGCCAAGATCCAGCCCCCAGTCCAGAACCTGTCTTCTCAGCTTTGTCATAGTGCCTTGCTTTCTGATGACTGGCCCTGATTGTCCTACAGGACGATAATAACAGGACATAATGCAATGCCCTGCTCCTGCGTCATGATCTGTAGCCACCACTGAAGCCATGGCTCCCTACTTAGCTGATTTACTAGAGTATGTCTTAGGACAATGCCATGTGCCCTTTCTGCTTCAGATACCTGATTTCTTCTCCGCCCACCCTCCTCCTCCTCCTCATCTTACAAAGCTCTCCAGGCCAGTTCATGTCTGACCTTTAACATCATCCAGCGAGTTAAAGCTTGGCTGAACTTCCCATCTCTACTGCTAAAAAGTCTAGTTTTGTTCCAGGGCTTGGGGCGGGGAGGGCGGCATGAACTGTTTCCAATCCGTCCTTGTCTCTTTCCTTCGTATCCCCAGGTGTGCCCGGCTCAATGCTGTCAAGTCCACTTCCAGCTCCATGTCCTACAATAGGAGTTCCCCAATATCTCCTCCCTTCCTACCAACCCCCCCCCCCCCCCGTCCCCACCCACTCGGGTGTCATGGAACACAGTGTCACTCGGGCCACATTTGCTGGGTTTTGTTTTGAACACCTTTATTTTCCTGTCACATTACAAACTGATTGAACAAGTGTTGTTCATTAATAACGAGCAAGTTTAACCAGCAGCATTGTTTCTGGTGGGCTTCACAAGCCCTGCCCTGCTGGCATTAACAGCCATCTGAAGAGATGTACCATGGGAAATGGAGTGGTGTCAGAGCTCCAAGTCTGTGATTAGTGTTCATTTGTTCTAGCTCTGTACACATTTGTTATGTCCTGAAAGGAGTGCTTTTCCCCAGCTCAGATGTCTCATTCCCATTTACTCGTGACATTTCGAAGAGAGGCGCTCTAAAGGAAAAACTCCAATTTAAAAACAAACTGCTGTGCCTAGAGAAATAAATGGCTCACAGGTAAGAGCCCACACTCAGGCAGAGAGCACAGCCCGCACATCAAGTAACGCACAACCGCCTGTAACGCCAGCTCAGCCCAACGCCTCTGGCTTCCTAGGGCTCCTGCACTCATGTGCACATACTCCTCCCTAATACACACACTCGAGAGCACACACACACACACACACACACACACACACACACAGAGAGAGAGAGAGAGAGAGAGAGAGAGAGAGAGAGAGAAGTTTTAAAAGCCTTTAATATTGGCTGGGCAGTGGTGGCACACACCTTTAAACCCAGCACTCGGGAGGCAAAGGCAGGCGGATCTCTGTTAGTTCGAGACCAGCCTGGTCTACAAGAGCTAGTTCCAGGACAGCCTCCAAAACCACAGAGAAACCCTGTCTCAAAAAACCAAAAATTTAAAAAGAAGCCTTTCATACAAAATACTAAGTAATTTATTAATGTTTGAAGCAGAAGAAAAACCAGCCTGGTTCACTATATTTGCTATATTAGTCAAGAATAGATAATTGACATACATGTTTGCTAATTTGACTTACATGTTTTGTCACTTAACACTGGTGGCATTCAATTATGTCTTCCTGGTCTATAATAGACTTTTCAAAGAACAGTTCCTCTGGGAAGTGCTGAATCCTGCTCTAGCCAACAGCTCTCTGGGAAGTGCTGAAAATCAGAAAAAATCATAACTAGCATATAAAATCCCTGGATTTCATGGATAATGTTGCTTAGGATGCGATTAAAGTATAGCTAGTGGGGGCTCGAGAGGTGGCTCAGCAGTTAAAGGCACTGGCTGCTCTCCCAGAAGATCGGGGTTCAATTCTCAGCACCCACCTGGCAGCTCACAGCCATCTGTAAGTCCAGTTCTGAGGGATCTGATTCCCTTTTTCTTGGGCAGTGAGCACATACATGGTACACAAACATACATGCAGGCAAAACATCCAAGTGCATAAAATAGTACTAAAAATGTAAATATACATATAGCTACTGGGGTAGGTGGCATGGTTCAGTAAGTAATGACACTTGATCAAGGCCCAAATCTGAGCTTGATCCTCAAGACCCACAAGGTAGAAAGAATGGACTGACTCCCAAAAGTTGTCCTCTGACCACCACACTCTAGTGTGGCACGCTAGCACACACACACACACACACACACACACACACACACACACACACAAACACACACACACACTCACACACGCATGCATGTACGCACACACACACACACACACACATACACACACATACACACACACACACACACACACAAATAAATGAATGGTTTTTTAAGTATGGCTAGTAGGTACAAAGATAAACATTGAGTAAAAAATACATATATAAACGGTACAGATGTGGTGAAACTACAAGGTGATTTAAAATAACCGAACTTGAGAAGGCCCGGCTCTCTCTCACGCTGCCTCCACACCGTGGGCTTCATCCATGTGAAGTGCTATGCCGCCCTGTTCCTTGCCCACCCTTCCTTCTGCTCTGTGTTAAAGCACTAGGTACGGCACAGCAAGGTAACTTAGTGGCTGGCTTTCTCGCTCTCCTGTTTCTTGCTGAGCTGAGGCTAGGCGAGGGCACCAAGGAGGAACTTAGCTGAAAGACTCATTGTGACACATTTGGGTATCAGAAAAGGCCACTGGGAATCCATCTGCCCCGTGGCTAGTGAAGTTAGATTTGAGATGCCTTTAAAAAGGGGGGGAGCATGGCAATGATGTCTTATGCAGCCCTGGGAAGCTGACTTCTTGTCACAGGGCTGTGTGGCCTGGAGGCATTGCAGCACCAGGCTCATGCTCAGGCAGAGAAGTCCCATGACTGCACAGAGCTGCACTGTCACTCTGTGTCAGCAACCCTGATTAAGGGAGTGGACTCTGAGCCATCTTCCTGTTTTATTGGAAGAGCATGCTTGGTCTTGCAGGACTTAGCTTGGCCATTATAATTTATTAACATAATTATTTTCTATAAGGCTGTGATATGACTCACAAAACTACAGTATGGCTGGACATAGCAGCGCACACCTTTAATCTCAACTCTTGGGAGATAGAGACAGGTGGATCTCTGTGAGTTCAAGGCCAGCCTGGTCCACAGAGTGAGTGCCAGGACAATCAGAGCTACAGATTTAGAGCAGAGTCTGGGAAGACAGGAAGGAACGGAAAGACAGGAAACATTTCCAGAAGCTGAAGCTGAAAACTGTACCCCAAAATGAGTTCTGTGTGGGCTTTAGTTGGTTGCTGGTGGTAGCATATTTCTGTTTGTCTTCATTGTTAGTGAAGTGTGTAAGCGGGGGTGGCATGGGAACGGTGAGTGCTGAGAAACTAGCAGGGCATTGTGAGTTACCCAGTGTGAATGCTGCATCCGAGCTCTGTTTCCCTGGGAGAAAGCAGTTTGTGTCCTTACCCCACCCCAAACCTCCTTGCCAAGCCCCTTGTTGGTTTTATTTTATTAGAAACAAAGTCTTAAGACAAGGTGTAGCCCAGGCTGGCCTTGAACACACAATCCTCCCGCCTCCCAAGTGCTGTGATTACAGGCCTATGCCGCCTGTCCAGATGAGAGGTTTCTCTTGGACATGAAACACCTTGAAGGAAGTCCTCAGTGATTGCCCTGTGGTGAAGCAGTGGCTTCTGGGGCCTGTGTCACACAGTGCCCTCTAGCAGAGATGGAGTTGTCGGGCCACAGGGCACATCACAATATTCTGTAGGAGACAAAGATTCTGCCCATCAGGGACACATCTCAGCTGTCCAACTTAACTCCAGGTGGATTCTGGTGGCTCTCACTGTTGGCCACACCACCACACATGGAATCAGTCAGCAGCTCTCCTGTTCTTAGCAGCGAGAAGTCAGGGAAACGCGTGCTGCCTGCCCACAGTCCTTTGCGGAGCTGCAGTCATGAGCAGGACTGGCTGCTTCACTTGTTAAGTTCAATGTAAAATGAAGCTCCCTTGTTCCATATCCAAGGACTGAGATGGGTACATCCAAACATTGAGCCAACCACTGAGCCTTTCTAAGAGTGAGACCCCGCAAGTCACTCATTTCAAAGGATGCTCTCACCCTTGTTTGAATCCATACTGTCATGAAAACAAAACAAACAACAAATAAAAACTAACAGACTGAAAAAACGCACCTCTACCTGCTCATGCTGACCCCAAAGTTGGAAACAGAAAATGCCCGAACTCTATAGAGGATGCGAGTGTTGACCACAAACTTGATGCTCTTTTTTTTCACAAGTTACTTTTTCATTTCAGCCCTCACTTTATAAGAACAATGGGTAATTAAGTGAACAAACAAGCCAGATCTCTGGATGCCCTCTGAGTGTGGTCCTTCCTGAGGCCTGGAAGTAGAGAGTTTGATTATTAGAGTTTTTCAGGGTGAATTCCCACAGAAATTTCCTTCAGGAAAAGGGGCTCATGTCCCCACAACCTAACAGAGTATGTTCATGAGAGCAGCAGGAGGGTGCTCTCCTCTGAGTGACAGGAGGTGTAGTGCTGAGAACTAGATGGATTTTCTTAAAGCTTTATTGGTATAGAACTTATGTAAAGTACAATCACTGACTTACTCGATTTTTTTTAAAATTACATTGACAGTTATGCAACCACTACTACAATCAGTTATTGAATGCAGTTGTTAACCTCAAGAGAAATCCTGCATCCATTAGCAATTACTCCAACCTTCCCAGCCATGGGCCTACTTCTGTCTTTGTGGCTCTGTGTATTCTGGACACTTCCCGTGCACCGAATCATGGAATATGTATTTTCAAAGTCCATCCATGCTATAGCACACACCATTTTGAATATGATAATTGTAAATTGGATAGGACCCCGCAAGGGATTGAGTGATTTATTAAAGCCAGGGGAGAGTTGGAATGACAGTGTCATTTTGGACATTTTGTGTTTGAGATGCTTGTTATACATCTAATGGAGTCATTCATCCATGTGTGAAGAGTAGTTAGTCATTTCCTTATGTCTTACATAGAAGTTACCTTTAAATGAACCTCAGACCTGCACAGACTCAAATAGAAAGCTAAAAATTGCTGTTGAAATTCCTAGGTGAAAATCTTTCTGACTTGATAGTGGTAAAGATTTCCAGGGTAGAACAACAATAGCAAAAAACATGGTAGTAAAGTGATAATTTTTACTTTATCAACATTTAAAACATTTATTCTTGAAATACATTTAAAAATAATCAAGTCAGAAAATGAAAGAAAATAATCGCAACACATAAAATACTCTTGCAAGTCAATAATAGGACAAATAACCTAATTTTTGAAGGATTAAATTTAAGTGTGTATATGTGTGTGTACATACACGCAAGTGCTCACGTGTGCCTGTGTCGTGGCTTCCGCGTGGAGGGTGGAGATAGCTTTGCAGAGCTGATTATTTCCTTACACCTTTACGTGGGTTCCATGGATCAATCACGGGTCTCCAGGCTTTCAAGGCAAGCACTTTTGCCTTCTAATCGTCTCAGGAGCCCCCAAATAACCCAGTTTTTACTGTAGAGCAAGGCTGGGTTATAACACAGTTTTAGAGGACCTGCTCAGTATGCAGCAAGTTGTGAGTTCAGACCTCAGCACCAAATACAAACAGAGATGGCAGAATATAGCTGTGATCCAAATGTTCAAGGAAGCAAGAGAAGTTCAAGGTCACCCTCTGCTACACAGAATGCAAGATCAGCCTGGGATATGTGAGACTGTGTCTCAAGAAAAAAAAATCATTGGTGTTAATAAGTCATAGCTATAAAGGAGGCTAACATCTTAGTTGAGAACTTCCAGGATACCTCATTATTAACACTTCACAATCAACTGTGTAAGGCCAAATGTTCTAAACAGGCACAAAAGGATATATAAAGAACAGGAAAATATCCCAGTATCACTGCCTATCAGGAAATGAAACAAAACCACAGTGCTGTGTCATTCCTATACCCAGGAGAATGCTGAAATTTTTAAACTCGATGATACTGAATACCCACAGAGACATGAAATAACTGAAGGTCTCTGTTGCTTTCTGAAATGCAAATGCTTTGTAAAACAATTTGCTGCTTTCTTAAAAAGTGACATATGTGCTTAATACAAGACCCAACCATTCCCCTCCTGTGTATTCTGTGTATTAAGAAAACCAAAAGGCCTTGTGTGTCCCATCAGAGGCTATCTGCAAATGTCTACTACAGTTGGAGATCAGGGAGTGAATGAAAATTCTATTGGTACCCTCAACGTGGGAGAAAAACTAGTAATACACACAACAGGAAGGAGTATCTCAGGCCATCATACTGGAGCAAAGAAGCCAGACACAAGCATGTTCACAGCATGAGTTCTTTGCGCAAATGCAGCCGCGTTCACATGCCATGAGATCATTTGTATAGATGCAAACTAATGTAAAGACACAAATCATCAGTGGCCCTCACACTGGGAAGGGTGCCTCAACAGCCCGGGTAAGCAGGCATGGGCCCCCTTGTCTCTGGTTGAGCACACAGGCTGTTCGGTCTGTGCTGGTGGCTGAATCTTTGGCTTTTGACCAGTGAGAGCTAGAGGGAGTGAAGCATGTTTCAGCTGGGAGAGAGGTAGAGTTTGGCATCCCCAGCAAGACTGGCAGGAGCAGGTGTGATGGTATCGGCTGTTATTAATAGTTTGAATATCAAGGCTGTGCCCCAGCTTGAAGACTTCATCCATGGAATCATAACTTGATGATATCATTGAGGACTGATGGAGACTTGGATGGAGGGGCCAGGTAGGAGTAAATTGATCTTTACAGGATATATCCTGCCCTGGCCCCTCTGGGGGTCTGTCTCTCTCTGCTCTCTGTGAGGTGGTCAATATTTGTCTGCTATGTCCTTCCACCACAATATTTTTGCCGTGCCACACTCCTTAAAGCCAGGAGCCAGATGACCAGTGGCTAAAATATGGAAAACTATGAGCTAAAGTTTTCCCATGGATTTTCTCACAGTGACAGAAATCTAGCCAGTGACTAGCTCTCCTGGGTTTGATGGTGACCCAAGAAACGAGTGCTCACCAGCAGTCTGCAGCTTTGGCTTTTGGGGTGATGTGGTCTGTACTGAAGTGAGTCCAGAGGAGGTGATTTTTGAGCTGGGCATAGTGGCCTATATCTATCATCTCAGGATGCTTGGGCAGGATTGCCTCAAGCTACAGGCACATGGAAACTTTCAGGCTAGTTTGGGCTACAAAGTGGGACCTTGTCTCTTAAAAAAAAGTCACATTGGACTAGTGTGGCCTCTGAATCTAACTTGGTTGTGATAGAAATTATATTGTTAAGTGCCGTGTGCTAATTGTGCTTATTCGGAATCAATTCTGGAACCAAGCAAAGTCCTCTTGTACCTGACACCAGAATATTTATTTCACATGCCCTCCCAAGATTCCTTTGTCCTGGGGTAGGCTGGCCCTTTGGCTCTGTAGGAGAGAAGGAAAAATAGCAAACAGCTAAGGGTATCAAAAATCACTATGCTCTTAGAACCACTTCCAACATAGGTAACATTTTATCCCATGACATAAAAACCTGTGGTGGGAATGAGAAGGCAGAAGTTCTTTCATAGAAGATGCTGCAAGAATTCTTTCCATCAAGAACTCCAGCATGGCCAGCCAGAGCACGCCTTTAATCCCAGCACTCTGGGGGCAGAGGCCAGCCCGGTCTACAGAGTGAGTTCCGGGACAACCAGAGTGGTTACACAAAGACACCCTGTCTCGGGTGGGGGGTGGAGGATGGAGAACTCCAGCATGACTGTTTCAGTGGGACCTCCCTGGTCCTTTCTGCTGGAGATGTAAATGCATGAATGACCGCTGAGGTCACCTGCCTGCTGCTTGCTACTTGTTATTTTACTTTTGCTTATTCTCTCAATCAAGCTACTGCAGTTGTTCCTATGGTTGTGGTTGTTAAATTTCAAACCCAGATCAAGCAGCTGAGGTGGCTATTTAACATGTCAAAGTGGACCTGGCCACCAGATTCTCCTCAGTCCCTCAGTCCCTCCCTGTTACAGGATATGGCTGGCATACCCTGCGCTTTACATGAACTCTCCAGCCCAGGGGCTGAGCTGTCCTTCCCCCAGAGGCTCTTCCCTAAATAATCCAGATGTTTTGGTTATCCACCCCTTTTATATCTTTGGCCTCCTGGCTGTCGCACCTGGTTCCTCAGCTCTGTCCTGCCTTCCCTTCCCTCTGGTCATGTCCACTCTGGACTCGCCCAGATGTGTCTGACTCTGGCTACGCTCGCTCTCCCTTTTATCTACAATAAAGCTTCTCCTCCACCAAACCTAGGAGCAGCCATGTCCTGTCCTTTCTTTCCCTTCTTATTCCTTTTTTTCATTCAGTTGTAAGTGCCTGCCTGATTCCCGATGGACTGACCTCTCTGTTTCTTGCTATTTCTTCTTGTACTTTTGCTGACTATATGCGTAACAACTCATTTGAAACCAAAAGTACAGTTGTCGTAGATCGTTCTCTGTACAGAACAGGGGTCATTCATTAAAAGACTGCGGAAATGTGGCCACAAACACACAGGAAGGGTGGCCCTGTGAAGACGAAGGCTGAGACTAGAGGGCTCCAAGTCAAGAAACACTGAGGATTGCCAGGAGCCACTAGGAGCTGGAAGAAACAAAGAAGAGTTATTCCATAACCCTTGGGAACACAGCTCTGTCAGAGCCATGATCTCAGACTTCTGGCCTCCAAGACAGGTAGGATGATTCTATTGTTTTAACCGGTCACGTGAAACAATGCAAAAGCCGAGAATGGTGTGTGAGGTTCAGAGCCATGGAGGCCATGGTGGCCTTGACATGAGGTAATAAACGGAATGGTGAGACAGAACCCTCATTCCAATGCGTTCACAGGAAAACGGGGAAGAGGAGACAGCGAGCGTGCATGCTCTAGGCCTGGGGTTGCAAAGTGGCTGGCCAACAGGAAAAGGGGAACCTGTCACATGACTGCAGGAAACTGAGTTCTGCTAACAGCCACATGAGCTTGGAAGAAAAGCCTGGGCTCTAGAAAGAAATGCTACCCCGCTGACATCCTACCACAGCCTACATTAACCCATGCTGTGCTGACCCCACATTCAACTGTTATGGTTTGAGCATGGCTTACCTGGTGAATGCTTGGTTTCCAACTGATGGTGTTATCTTAGGAGACACTGGAAACGTCAGGCATTTTGCTGGCCTGCCCCTGTCAGCTGGCAGAATGCACTCAGGCAGTACCCTGGTCCTCCCAGGGTTCCATAGTTGTGTAGTCTGCACGAAGGTGCAAAGGACCTCTTTAAAAGACAGACCCCCGCCCACTCTCTATTCTGCTCTCTTTCCCACTGTTGCCCTGGGGCAGACAGGACTCTCTCTTCTCTTCTGTCCTCTCTCTGCCTCAGTGTCTCTTTTCCCTTCCATCTCCCTCCCCTTTCTAATAAAACTTCTCACCAAGCTCTGTCTGTCTGGCATGTTTGTTCCTCAGCCTCGGTCACCGTCGCCTGCCATGGAATCTGTCAAGGTCCCCCACGAGCTTTATCAAAACAGCCTTGGTGACCAATTGTTCAATATGGCCACACTCATTCACTCTGACCTTCAGCATTGGGGATCAAGGGCTAATCTGGCACTCCATGAGAATATGTAGTGTCTGTAGAATGGGAAGAAGCAGAGAAAAGATGTTAGTAATTATTAAAGTGTGTGTGTGTGTGTGTGTGTGTGTGATATGTGTGTCTGTGTGTGATGTCTCTGTGTCTGTGTGTCTATGTGTGCCTCTCTGTGTCTGTGTCTGTGTCTGTGTACGTGTCTGTGTCTATGTGTGCCTCTCTGTGTCCGTGTGTCTGTGTCTATGTGTGCCTCTCTGTGTCTGTGTGCCTGTGTATGTGTCCGTGTGTCTCTGTGTGTGTGTGTGAAGAGTACATGCGGATTGTGGTGTGTGTGGTAGCACAAATTACGATACATGGGATTGGGATGATGTAGGTTAATTTTATTGGGGAAAAATCACTTACATGAGAAACTGATAATCCAGAGTCAGCACTCTGAGCATCCAATCTCAGCTCTCTTCCGAGACCAGATCAGAACCCAGAGAGAACAAGCCTGTCCTTCCTCTCAAACCAAAATCCCACACATGCATGTGCCCGTGACCACACTGTTTGGGCATGGTCAGCGCCACAGGTACCTAGTAAGATCTCTCACTACAATGCTGTGTGTCTCTGCGTGAGGTGTGTGTGTGTCTGTATGTGTGTGCACACACGTGTGTGGTGTTTCTGCATCTGTGTCTGTATGTGATGTGTCTCTCTGTGTGTGCATGTGTGTGTTGTATTTGTGTCTGTGAGGGGGGGGAGAGACCGGTGTCTGTGTCTGTGGTGTGTGTAGTGTGTGTGTTGTGTCTGTGTCTGTGTGTGGGGAGACCGGTGTCCGTGTCTGTAGTGTGTATGTAGTGTGTGTGTTGTGTCTGTGTCTGTGTGTGGGGAGTCCGGTGTCCGTGTCTGTGGTGTGTGTAGTGTGTGTGTTGTATCTGTGTCTGTGGTGGGTGTGGGGGGGCCGGTGTCTGTGTCTGTGGTGTGTGGAGTGTGTGTGTTGTATCTGTGTCTGTGTTTGGGGGGGGGGGAAGACCAGTGTCTGTGTCTGTGGTGTGTATGTAGTGTGTGTGTTGTGTCTGTGTCTGTGTGTGGGGAGACCGGTGTCCGTGTCTGTAGTGTGTATGTAGTGTGTGTGTTGTGTCTGTGTCTGTGTGTGGGGAGACCGGTGTCCGTGTCTGTAGTGTGTATGTAGTGTGTGTGTTGTGTCTGTGTCTGTGTGTGGGGAGACCGGTGTCCGTGTCTGTAGTGTGTATGTAGTGTGTGTGTTGTGTCTGTGTCTGTGTGTGGGGAGACCGGTGTCCGTGTCTGTAGTGTGTATGTAGTGTGTGTGTTGTGTCTGTGTCTGTGTGTGGGGAGACCGGTGTCCGTGTCTGTAGTGTGTATGTAGTGTGTGTGTTGTGTCTGTGTCTGTGTGTGGGGAGTCCGGTGTCCGTGTCTGTGGTGTGTGTAGTGTGTGTGTGATATCTGTGTCTGGGCCAGTGCAGGGGCAGCCAGGGAGAGAGGACTCGGTCTTTAAACCTGTCTCCTTCACATCCTTTGTGTTGCTTCCTCTATGTCACTTCATCTTATCTATGTCTCTTCCGACAGCCATCTTTTCGAAGGACGAGCCTGTTAAAGCATATTTTTGTCATCTCTTCAAAGTTGGAGTAAGCCTTTGAATGGTAGGCCTGTGTGTTGAGTAATAGGCATGAGATAACCAAGCAGCAGCCTCCTCTCAGGAGGTCTGCCTGAGCCCCAGGGCTGGCGGGGTGACATGTTGTGGCACAGTGGCCCTCATTTGAGCAGGCATGCCTTTCAGGTGCTTGCTGGACCCTCCTGGTGCCAGGCCCCACTGGCTCTCTACTGTTTCAGCCCTCCTTTGCCTCATCGGTCTGCCCTCATTTCCTTCTCAGAAACTCTGCTGTTTTGCCACACACCACGGGGTCAGCCAGGCCCCATCTGACAGCTGGGGCTCCAGCCCAACCCCACAGTCACCCAGTGTTCCTTTCACAGGCTCCGGTGTGTTCCTGCCAGCCAAGTCCACTTCCTTTTACGATCCTTTTTCAGGCCTCCCTTTCTGGGCCTTGTGTACCATGCCAATGGCTTACACACTTGCTGAAAGGACTCGGGGCTGAGAACTTGAATCAATGGGCTCTTTATTTTTGAACATCAGTAAACGGCACAAATCAGCTGAATGGGTGCAGCCCTGTTTGTGATTCTGATGCTTGCTGTGGTCTCCAGCCAGCATTAGACCTACCAAGAATGTGCTTGTTGCTGCTAGCTAATAAAGAATGTGGCCCTTTTCCCTTAAATTGAACAGACTCCAAAATGCTGGCCTGAAAGATCAGTTTAACACTGGAGAGGCTGAATGGAAAAATCTTTAACTTTCCTTTTGAAACAGTCCATTGACGTTGTTCTAATTGTTTTCTTTTCCCTTCCTCTTGGTCTGATCTCTGGCATCATTGCATCAGCTTGGTGCAAATCTTTTCAAGACTCGGAAAGACATGCCAGGATCGTTTCCACTGATTGAGCTACAAATTGTGTAATTAGAGATGAAAAGTTCTGGGAACCTTCAACTTGTGCCCGTGCCTTTGTCAAAATGGACCCCTGTCACTGTGTTTTGGGGTTGGTTCTTGTTTCTCTTGCTGTTTGTTTGTGGAACCACTCACAACTCATTCAGTGCCACCAGCAAGGGACATGGCCTCCCCTTTTTGACTAAAAATAGTCACTGGTGTGGTTAAAGCACAGGGACAATATCCCTTAAAAAGACAAGATCTAGAGTTGGAGCTAGCCTTGCCTAGTGTGCATGAGACCACACTGAAATAAAATAATTTAAGGCCTGAAACTATATAATGTCCCCAGTAGAACTGAAAATTTAACAACTACAAAAAAAAAAAAAGGATGAACTTTTGTTCCTATTTGAAATACAAATGGCAAAAAGTAGAGGAGGTGGCATAGCTTCACAGGTACAGCTTCCCCAAACCCTCTGCATGGCAGGAAGGTTCAAAAGCAAGTTCTGGAGGCAGACAGCAGGGCTTCAAACCCCAGTCCCAGTACTGAACATGACACTGGGCAAATTATTTTCTGTAACAAAGTCTCCTCTTCTGCAAGATCAGTCAGGGCCCCCACCCCAGGTTTCTGTCAGGCTCAGGAACAGCAGCCCATGATGGGCTGGGCGTCACTGTTGTCCTGGCTAACACAGCCCTCGCAGCCCTGCAGGGTGGCTTCCCCAACCCTACTCTAGAGCCTTCCAACTCCTGCCCACTGCTGCAGCACCCGAGGAAGCCCTGGCTTGATCAAGTGGTGTCTGTTACTCCCCAAATCAAGCTGCACTACCTCAGTGTGACATGCAAAACTGCCAGGAAGGCAGTGAGGAGCAGGGAACCCCGGGCCACCACGTGAACAGCACTGGCTTTCAAGGTGTTCTCTGCCTTTTCTTGTCGGTTGTTATTGTCTTCAGTTCAACCGTGTTCCTCAATTTTAGGTATAGGTCTCCTTTAGCCTCCTTGAGTCACATTTTCTTATTCTTTTATTCTTTTGCCTTCCTTCTGCACCCTCCCACTGCCACCATTCTGGTTCCAAGTATCTGTGTGAAAGAGCTGCCGTTGAAAACGACCCCAAACAGTCCTGAGTTCCATTCGTGCTGCTTCAGGGGCAAGTGACTTTTTTTAAATTTATTTTATTTTATTATTTTTTTATTTGAGATTTTGCCTGTATAATGGTGTTGGATCCTGGAGTTATAGACAGTTGTCAGCTGCCATGTGGGTGCTGGGAATTGAACCCAGGTCCTCTGGAAGAGCAGTCACTGACTGCTCTTAATCACTGAGCCATCTTTCCAGACCTGCAAGTGTCTTTTTTTAATTATTTAGTTTTAATAAGTGTGTGTGTGTGGTTTGTGTGTGTGTATGTGTGTGTCTGTTTATGTGTGGTTTCTGTGTGTGTGTGTGTATGTGTGTATGTGTGTATATGTGTGTGTATGTGTGTGTGTATGTATGTATGTGTGTATGTATGTATGTATGTGTATGTATGTGTGTATGTGTGTATGTATGTGTGTATGTATGTATGTGTGTGTGTATGTGTGTGTATGTATATATGTGAGTGTGTGAGTGTGTATGTGTGTATGTATGTATGTGTGTGTATGTGTGTATGTGTGTAACCATGTTTGTGAAGAACCAAGGAG